AACTACAAAAAAAATTCAAACAGACATTGTTTTGTCAAAAATTACTTATTTTGCAAAAATCAGTATAAAAAACCATCTTAATACTCTAACAAAAAGTTTTTGTTAGACAATTTTACTATATAAATTACTTCACTCTAATTCTTAACTATGAAACTAACCCTAACATAAATAGGCTTTAAAAAATTTTTGCTATACAATAAGCCTAACACACATTCAAGTAATGTTTAAGTCTATTAGTAATAACTTAAAGTCCTGATGTCTTTTGATAATATAATTGTAAATATCTGAATTCCAAATGCTATGCAATAATTCAGATGCTTGCAACACCAGAATTTTTTTAACACAATTATGCATTCACATGAATACATTTTCTAATTGACTTAATTTAGCATGCTGTTTTTAGATTGTAAAACAATAAGCTGTTAAATCATACTGATAATTTGTATAATAAACAAAGAAAATTAATATGCAACCATTACTAAGCCAATTCAAAACTTACCCAAAAAAAACTTGCAGAATGGGCTAAAAATGAATTTAAGTTATTAAAAGCTTCAGGTTAAAGTACAATCTTAGATATTTTTAAAAAAAAGGATAAGTTCAATGAAATGTTTTCAAATAACTTTGTTATTAAAAAACATCATATTGTTATGTTTTCTGAGCTAAATATTGCTTTAGAAAATTGGGTTTTACAGTGTGAATATTGGGCTATATATTTGAATAAAGATATAATTAAAGCTAAAGCCAAATAATTAGCAGAACTAATGAATATTTCTGAAAATAGCTAATTTGAGTTTTCTAATAGATAGTTGTAAACCTTTTAAGAAAGGTACAACTTTTATCATTTTAGGTTGCACAGTAAAAGTGGTTCTGCAGATATTACTGCAATTAATTTAAACCTTTCCAATATTATTTATACTCCTGATCAATACTCCTTGCAAGACATTTACAATATAAATTAGACAGGTTTGTTTTATACTATGGCCCCTGATCATATAATTGTGTTTCATCAAATTAAAGAGTCAAAAAAAGCCTGCATTAGAATTACTATCATATTTAAAGCCAATGCTGATAGCACCCATAAGCTTCAACCTTTTTTTATTAGACATGCAAAAAAACCTAGATGCTTTAAAGAAAAACTGAAAAAGAGCTTAAGTTTTATTATTGTAATAATAAAAAGGCTTGAATAACTGCTGTGTTTTTTCAAGAATAAATAAAATGATTAGATAAAGAAATAAGAGAATCAAACTAACATATTTTACTAATCCTTGACAATGCCTCTTCACATGTTACTAAAGTTCTTATATTAACTATTATAAAGGTAATGTTACAAATTAAATTGCAACTAATCAATTAAAATTGTTACTATAGTATATTGACTAAAGAACTTCTTTTTGAGTACACTTCTTGTAAATATCTAGATATAATATATAATATAAAATTATGCAATTCTAGTAAAATTCCAAAATTCCAACCCAGTAATAGCAAAATACCTTGAGTATATTATAAGTTTTTTTTCAGATATTTTATATTAGACTCCAGGTTTTTTAGTCAGTATATTACAGTACTAATTGATTAATCAATTAGTTAATATCAACTAATCAATTAATTGATAAGTTGCAGCTAGATGTTAATTAAAAAAAATAAATAATTAATTAATTGGTTAAAAAATTACCAATTTGTAATACTATATAAAGGTGCTATTAATGCCTTCAAATGTTATATCAAAAATATAGCCGATGAATGCCAGTATTATTGCATCATTTAAACTTCATTATTAGTGTATACAACTTCAACATGCAATAGATTATGATAAAGCTAATAAACATGATATATATGAAGTTAATTAGCTACAAGCTATAAAATGAACAAAAGATTGCCTAAAGTGAAGTCACTACTAAAACAATCAAAAATTGTTGATTTTATACAAGAATTGTATTTTTATGTGATAATGATGAAACACCTATCAGTTCTTTTACTTTTGTTGATAACAATAAAGCTGTAAATGAATGTTTGTCTATAGATCCAAATAATGTTAGAAAACTTCAACAAGTAATTGATACATTGTGTGTTTACAATTCAATATTACTAGAAGAGTTGTTAGAAACTGAAGACCATGAAAAGTTATACTAGCAATTTAATAAGAAAGACTTTGTTCAGACTGCTACAGAATTAGAGCAAGTAGAAGATAAAAGCATGATACCATCCTTAACTGAAAAAGAGCAGTTGAATATTTTATATAGTGTTTTGAAAATTGTTGATAAGAGGATTAATGATGATGGAGTAACAATAAAGTCCTTATACAAACTATAATTCTGTATCCATGGAGAGGTTCAAAAAGAAGAGGCTAAAAGACAGGTTCAAACTAAATTAGAATGGTTCTTTTTAAATCTTAATAATTTTATTTATCATAAAAACAAATGTGACTTTTTTTTATTTCTTTATAATAAGTATATAAAAGCATTATTCATTAGCAAATTTATAGATGTGAAATATTTCGAAAGATTTTGCATAGCACAATAATTTCAAA